AGGGTCACCAGCAGGAATGCTCAGCACCTTCAGTTGGCCCAGTCCTGCTGGGGAGTTGCTGCCCCAAAGTACAGAGTTTTTTCTTTGTCCTTGTCCCACCTCACTTTCATTTCCCATCACCCATCCTTTTGATAGTCCAGGATAAAATTACAAACTGCCTTTCCAGTTCCTATTCTTCAGAAACCCCAAAACTGGACAGAAAGAGCAAAGGCCTTAGGCGCCATCTGCCTCATTTCTGAGGTCAAAGGAAAGCCCCTTTTAGGCACAAAATAATTCCCTAAATATGCGTGGGACATTCCTTTAAAGCAGCAGTTCTCAACCTTCCTAATGCCGCGGCCCTTTAATACAGTTCCTGTGGGTCACGACCCAAAGGTTGAGAACTGCTGCTTTAAAGCAATGGTACTCAATCCTGGGAGCTTAAAAAAAAATTGACGCCTGGGCTTCAGTTTAGACCAACTTGATCGAAATCTCTGGAGAGAGGGTCCAGGCCTCTGGCTTATTGTTTTTCTGTTCGTTAGCACCTCAGGTGATTCTTATATGAAACCAAGTTGCTCACCATAGCTCAAAAGCAAATAAATACTTAGAAACGCTTTAAAAGCAAAAGAAGGAAGGCTCCTGCTATTCTGGAACACCTACCTCCTGGGTGCTGAGTCCTGTGTGCCTTTCAGACACACAGGCAGATAGGGAAAGGCTTTGGAAGAAAGGAATGGGAAAGTGGGGAGGCTGAGGTTGAGGCTGAGGTTGAAAGCCAGACCTGGCAGCTTAGCCTAGGGCTGAAGTCCTCAAATGCAAAAACGGGGGAGATGTTCTTTCTGGACAAACTCCAGGATGAAATTCCTGGAGAGGGGGAGACTAGCATTAATCTTACCTATGGCTAAAATGACTTTTCCTCCCATCTCTCCCAAAATCTGTTAGGAGGAAAAACACCCCCCCCCAAATTTGTACTAAACGTGTGTGTGAGGGAGGTTTAGGAGGTATGAAAGATTATGTTTACATTACCAGTGTGAATGGGGGAACTGAGAACACTCCTCCTTCCTCCCTCCTCACCCCTAGAATGTTCCTCAAGAACACAGGTAATTCACGTTAACGAGAAATGTTTGCAAACTGATGACATAACCTGGCTCCTTCAACTTGAGATGTCTTTAAGGCAGCTGTATCCTAGAAGTAATTACTTCTGATTCTTTCCTTTGAAATCTAGGTGCCTATTGCCCCCGACCTCTTAGCCCTGCCTCCTACCCACCACAGGGGCCACGGTGAAGTGGAGAGCCATTTCCTTCCTTACCATGTCCTTAAAGCCTCCAAGCACAGCAGCAGTGATGATTCCCAGGAACAGGCCGACAATGTTGAGGATGGTGGCAGACCAGAGCAGGTGGTAGAGGTGGATGATATCCTGGCAACTGCTGACATCGATGTATTCATAGTACCCACCTGTGATCTCCACCCGGCTGGATAGGGAGGAACACGCTCCAGTTAGTCCCCAGGGAGTAGACTGTTCCTCCCCCACACCCCCAGGGATTGGGCTACCATGCAGATCAACAAAAAGACAGATGGGCAGATGAGAAACTGTCATAAGGGCCATCATAATCATGCACTTGAGGAGCAAGTGTGATTGATGTTTATGGGGGAAAAAAATATCTGCCAGAGAAACACCTATAACCTCACTAACACTAATCCTAGGTAACATTTTTTTGACACTAGCTATGTACTGGACATAGCGCTAAACATTTTTACATGTGTGAATGGATTAAATCTGTGCGGTCCAATGTGATAGCTACTAGCTACATGTGACTATTTAAATTTAAATTAAGTAAAATTAAAAATTCAGTTTATCAAGCCAGGTGCCGTGGCTCACACCTGTAATCCCAGCAGTCTGGGAGGGTGAGGCAGGTGGATTGCCTGAGCTCACAGGTTCCAGACCATTGTGAGCCAGAGCAAGACTTCATTTCTAAAAATAGCCAGGTGTTGTGGCAGGCGCCTGTAGTCTGAGCTACTCCGAAGGCTGAGGCAAGAGAATTGCTTGAGTGCAGGAGTTTGAAGTTGCTGTGAGCTATGACACCACAGCACTCTACCAAGGGTGACAAAGTAAGACTCTGTCTCAAAAAAAAAACAAAATCAGTTTATCAGTCTCATCAGCCACATTTTGAGTGCTTGATAGCCACATATGATTAGTGCTTACTATACTGCACAGAGAAACTTACTATAGAACATTTCCATTATCACACAGAGTCTATTAGACAGAGCTGCAAATCCTGACAATATTCTATGTGGTGGGGACTATCGCTGTTCCCATTTACAGATGGAGAAAGTAAAGCACAGAGAGATTAAGGAAAGTGCCCAAATCATAAGTGGTAAAACTGGGATCTGAATTTAGTCTTCAAAGGTGTCTCCTCTCTCAAAACAAAACAAAACAAACCTGTCCTGATAAAGAATTAAAGCTGAGTTGCTGCATGATGCCTGAATATGACCTCTGTTGGGAGGCCTTTCCTGACGACCAGGAGACATCCCTCTGCCAGCCCAGGCTCTCTCTATCACCTTACCTGCTATGGACTGATTTGTGTCCTTCAAAATTCATACGTTGAAGTCCTAACCCCCAATGTCTATATGTGTAGACAGGGTGATTCGAAGATAATTAAGGTTAAGTGAGATTAGGAAAGTGGTATCTGAATCCAACAGGATTGGCGGTGCAAATTAGTTTACAAATTGGCCACTTGAATTGATAATGAATCTAAAACATTACCGTTCTGAAAATTAAAGTCACACCACACATCCTGGCATCAGAATGGTTATTACAAGTGACTCCTCTGTTATTGCTATGAGAACACCAAGAATGAAAAAGAAAAAAAAAATCAAAGGTTATCTCCAAAATGAACAGAGGAGAGTTATTCATGTAATAAAAGACCTGTAAACTTTATAGATGAATTTATCACTGGATTCTTTAAAATCAGTATTTCCCTAAGGAATTGAAATCAATGTGGTTATAGGACAGATTGCATCAGAGTCACCTGTGTTCATGTCTTTGCATGCCTACCTGTATGTGTCAGTGTGTTATTTGTGTGTGCCCGTGGGTGTCTCTGTGTATCTCTGTGTGTGTGCATATGTCTTTGAGAGTTCGACATGCAGATTTCTAGGCCCAGCCTCAGTCCTACTGAACCTGGCAGACTCCCTGGGGGTAGGGTTCAGAAGTCTGTGTTAACAGACTCACCAATGTTTGAGATTCACTGTTTTTTAGTGTAAGCTTCCATAGTGGAATTTTTTTTTTTGGCTGGGGCTAGATTTGAACCCGCCACCTCTGGCATATGGGGCCGGCGCCCTACTCCTTCGAGCCACAGGCGCCGCCCTCCATAGTGGAATGGTAAGGGTGCATCAATTCATCAGAATTTGAATTGGATTTTAGCATTTTCAAGAACATATCTGAAGAGCCCATCCATAAGCCTACGTTGAGGGTCACTTATTTGTCAGCATAATATTCGGCCCCAGGGATGGACAGTAAGGATACACAGATTACTAACTGCCCCAAATGGCACAGCTGTACAAGAACTATGCCCCGCAAAGGGCCAGCTAGTGTGTAAAGATGTGTGTGGGATTGTAGGGACACCTTAGTGGCTTGCGAGCGAGCATCTGAGGTCCCCCAAATTATCTTTTCGTACCTCCTAAAACACTGAGAGTGGGCTAGCAGTACTTGTAGGTAGGCGGTATGCCATATAGCAGACTCTGGAGTCAGACTGCATGGAGTCCTGGCTCTGCCATTTAAGCACTGTCTGACCTTGAGCAACTTTCTTAACCTCTCTGACCCTGGGGGATTTAATGAGTGCAGGCATAAAAGTGGCACTCCAGCACATAATAAGAGCCCCTACCAAAACATGTAGCTATATTTTGTCCCTTCTAAGAGCCAGCCTCTGGCAACTCAATTTAAACCTTCGAACCCCATTCTTAAAGGTACTAAGGCATTAAAGTAATAGACCACAATATGGAGATAGGTTAGTAGTTTCCTTTAAAATATACAATAGTAGTTCCAGCTACTTGGGGAGGCTGAGGCAAGAGAATCGCTTAAGCCCAAGAGTTTGAGGTTGCTGTGAGCTTTGATGCTATAGCACTCTACCAAGGGCAACATAATGAGACTCTGTCTAAAAAATTAATTAATTAATTAAATCTGTGAAATGTAGACCATAGAGGTTTGGCACAATAATCGAGTAAATGAGGTGAAAGCTATGTTGATTGGCTTAATGTAACCACATTAGATTGTATAAAAAAATTAGCACATTGTACCCCACATATGCATGAATGCATTCATGATCTATGTGTATTTGACTTAATAAAAAAATAAATAAACAACTTAAAAAATAATAAAATATGCAATAATTTTAGAAAATATGTTTGGTTTCAGTTTGAGTAGGTTCAGCCACTACTGATTTTTTTTTTTTAAAGTGAACCATGAAGCAAAGAAAGTTAATTCTTAGATATGGCTCAGGGTTTAGCAAATTAATGTGGTTTCTTTTTGTGAGAGATTCATGATTCCATTTGGTTCCGTTTCTGAGTAGAGCTTCCTTTGAAATTGCATCTTTTGTATTTCCACGGCTCCCACCTCATGTCTCATGACTGCAAGCCCCTCCTGCCAGACCCTGCCACTGCCCGATTAGTCTTCCTAAAATGCTTTTTAAACTATGCCAGTCTTGGTTGGGCACCCGTTGCTCAATGGTTAGAGCACCGGCCCCATACCCCGGGGTGTGATGGGTTCAAACCTGGCCTGGGCCTGCTAAACTATGCCAGTCATTTAACCAAAACCCTTTCATGGCTTCCCAGGACCTTCAGGGGAGTGTCCAATTCCTTAGTCTGCTACAATCCAGCTCCAAGATGGAGCCAGGCTGGAGTCCTCAGAAGCCCCACACTGGCCATACTGGGCACTTATTCCAAACCTTCATGTAGATTTCCCCCTCTGCATGGAAGTTATTGCTTTCTGTTCTTTGCCTGTTCTAATCTCTCCCACTTCTCAAAACTTTAATAAAATACCTGTCTCAAGGACTCCAGTCCTTATCACTTAGCTTTTTCCCTGGACTCCCACAGCCTCTGAATCTATTCCTGTTAGTTGGTACTTTCCACATGTCAACAATTTAGTTACTTATTCAATACAAATATGTATTGAAAGCCTACTCAGTGCTGACTGCTGTGCCAGTTGCTGAAGCTATAGCCAAGGCCAAGGCCAACAGGATGTCTCTGTTGAAAGAGAAACATTTTGAGGACAGGGGTCATCTTTTACATTTCTTTGTGTCTCTTTCACTGCTTAGCACATCTAATGTGCTAATTTTTTTATACAATCTAATGTGGTTACATTAAGCCAATCAACATAGCTTTCACCTCATTTACTTGATTATTGTGCCAAACCTCTATGGTCTACATTTCACAGAAAAGTTAAAGGTGGTCAATAAATACTTGGTGAATGAGTAACTGAGAGCAAGGACTGATCATTACATTGACCATGAGATTGGTTACCCAATATGGGCTTTCGCCCCCTTGTTTTCCACTTGTTAGGTTGGCCTACAGAAACAGATAACCTCTCTGTGTTGTTGACCCCACTTAATAAAGTAGGAGGTAGATGATCTTGGATAAATAAGGAGGGCATCCTTCTGGTCTTCCTCTGGAGCCCGGAACCACTCAGTCATCTTGGTGGACAGGCAGTGGCGATGGGCAGCGCCCATGCAACTCTCCCACTCATGTGTCTTAAATCTGTTTAAGTCCCTCTCACGGCAACCCCCTGGGAAACTGAGTCACTTAAGGGCAAAACCATGTCTTATTGATACCCATTCTTTTAGAAGCCTCCCTGGCACATAGTAGGAACTCAATAAAAGTTTGTCAAAGGAAGGAATGAATAGAAGTAAGCTACCTTCTTTCATTTTATTACTAGCTGAAGCAGTTCATAAACCACTCCATTTCCTCTCATTTCCTTTAGGTTACACGCTGAAAAGCAGTGATATTGACTTGACCTCTCCAAAGACGAGTGAGTAGATGAAAGCCTGAAGTACTCTGAAAGGCAGCTGCTGTGTCCTAGAGAAAGCCACCTTCCTGCACAAGGCTAAATGTAATAATCTATGTTTGCTATTAAAACCTCACCACCCCTGACGTCAAAGAAGGTCTGTGGGTTCGAGGGGACAGTAGAAACTCGGTTTCCATAGCACTGTACCAAATGACTGCCTGATGTTTTTGTTCCCACTTTTTTTTTTCTTGGCCTCCTTTCCAGGAAATGGACTGAAGAAGCTGGCAATTGATTAAAAATAGGCTTCGTGTGAGGAAAATAAATACACATTTGGCAAAATTAAAGTCTCCAAGCCTCCAAATGCTTGTTGTTAGCTATATTTAGGTATTGAGTTGAGGTCTCTTTGGCTCTGGGTGAAAAAGCTCCAGGTCAAGGAAAAACTTTTCTTTCTATTGTGGGACCAGCACCTCTTAAGTCCCCTGGCCTGGGTTTATGACCTGCTGGCACCGTTTCCAGACTGAAAGCTAAGCAAGTCATTTTCTACTGGATTTGTCTTTGGAATTTGAGCACTGCAGACTTGGGAAAGGGCTTTGAGAGATGTCTGGGACTGGCCTCCAGGTAGGTTTAAACATCGCTAGGACCAGTATTCTCATGACCCTTCTCAGTTGCCTAGTGCAGTATTTTATTTTCCTGGTGAAAAGGGAGTTCTTTTTGTTCCTTTTCAATAAATGTCACACCCTTTTCATTACCCCTTTATTCATGACCAGCCTGGTGCTGGGGTCAGAGGATACAAATAAGATTAAGTCATATTCCCTGCCCTTAGGGAGCCCAAAGTTTAGCACAGCTCCTCATAAAATTTCTTTAGTGTGTTGAAGACAATACTGGTCTAAACTTGCTTTAAGAAAGTAAGAAAGTCAATTATGATGAAGTTCAGATTGACAAGAAGATAAATTTGGCTTGAACCTCCACTTTCAAAAACAATTCACCTGAGGGCTCAGCTAAATGGAAATTCAAGTAGGATTTGGGGTATTCAAACTTTTTTCAGAAACACACCCATTGCAGAGAGAAAGGTGTGCCTGCCAGGAAGCACTTCTCAGCCCTCTCAGGGGGCCTTCTCGCTACTTGGGATTTCAGGCCCAGTTCTCTAGATGAGGCCAGGAAATGGAAGAGGAGAGGGCAGCATCAAGAGGCAGGGAGAAGGATGGCAGGAGGATAGATTGAAGGCGGAGGAGATAAAAAGTGAGGGAAGGACGGAGCACAGGAGGGAGGGCTAAGGGAAGGTGAGAAGAAAGACAGCAAAATCCCCCCAACCCCCCCAGGACTTATGTTACATTCCTTTGATTATTTTTGGAAGGATGGTCTCAGGAAGTACAATTATAGCAGCTCTCAATCATGGCTGCTGAGGAGGGAAGTCCTTTACAAGTGATAGTTATTATTACAACATGAATAATTAAACCCCCCAGATAATCTCTAAACCTCATTTGAGTCTTTAAGTTTCTCTTTCTCCACTGCCAAACCTTTCAAGGAAATGGGACTGGGACGAGCACAGAAGGTGAAGGGCTGGTGTGAGGTCTCTGCTTTCTCCTCCCTGCCTCCACTCTGCCAGGCCTTCATCCTCAAACCAGAAAAACTGGCCCCCCAAATACCAAGAGTAGGGAATGTGAGGTAAAAGGGGCTGCATCCACCTGGTGCCTCAGAATCTATCTCTGGCCAGCCCCCCATCTGCCAGGTCCTCCCTTCCTCCCTCCCTCCCCTGGCCTTGGGCTCTCTGCAGGAAGAGTCTGAAATCCGTGCAGGGGCAGGCACCGGCCCACACGCCCTCCATACAGGGGCGGTTCACTCACGCTCTGCATCTCTTCTTCTCATGTATCATATAAATTGATCTTTCAATACTGCCTGCTTTCATCTGTCCACACACCAGCTTGATGTAGGCTCCATTCTCTGTGGTCTGCACCCTTGCAGTGCACTCCTAGCTGCCTCCAGACTCCAACCATTCAAGTCCATCTTCCACACTGTGCCCTTCAAGGCCTCCCAATTGCCTACAGCATCAAGTCCAAGGTTGTTCTTACGGCCAGCGGGCTCTCTATCATCTGACCTCTGGCTGCAGCTCTGTTCTCACCTCCTACTACATCTTCTATAACTACCTCCACCCCCTACCTCCTGACAACTGCCAGCAAGGTCCTCCCCACCTCTACCCCTTTTTGGCTTGTCACCTAACTCCCTATTTATCTTTTAAGTCTCAGCTTCCACATCACCTGCTCCTTGACACTGTCCCTCACCCCAGAAAACTCTGATTTCCATTCATCTGGGCCGCCAGAGTCCATACCACATCCACTGACCCCAATACGTCTGTCACACAACATTGTGATCAATTGTTCACATGTCTGTTTTCTCTAGTGGTATGTAAACTCCTTGATGGCAATCTCTGCATTCCTAAGCCCCTAAATGATACATTGACACTTGGGGGCAGAGAGCCAGACTGATTATATAGAACAAGCACCAAACCTGCTCCTGCCTCAGGGCCTTTGCACTTGCTGTTTTCTTTGCTTGAAACTCTCTTTCCCCAAGTACCTACTTAGGTTGCCCTCTTACTTCATTCAGGCCTCTGAAAAAATACCACCTTTTCCAAGAGGGCTTCTCTGACTACTTTATAATAGCACACACAGCCCCAACCTTGTCACTATCTACTCCTTCTGATTCATTTTTCTTCCGAGCAGTTTCTGATGGAATAATATATATTTGGTGTTTATCAACTGTCTCCTCTACTAGAATATAAGCTCCAGGGGGCAAGGACTTTTGTTTTGTTGGCTGTACCCTGAAGGAGGATCAGGTGGGAAGGAAGAATCTTCAGTGTCTAGAACAGGGCCCAGAGAAGATGTTCATAACTATCTGTTGAACGTTATTAAATTTGGGCATAGACAGACCTGGGTTTGAATCCTACCTCTACCTTTCTTTCTTTCTTTCTTTCTTTTTTTTTTATTTTTTGCAGTTTTTGGCAGGGGCTGAGTTTGAACCCGCCACCTCCGGCATATGGGGCCAATGCCCTACTCGTTTGACCTCTACCATTTTTAAGCTCTGTGTGACCTTGGACTAGCTGTCACTTTCCTCTGAGTTTCACTCTCTTCATCTGTAAAATAGGGATAACTCTACGTACCTCGTAGGTAAGAATTAAATAGATCACACGTATGAAACTACCTAGCATGACGCCAGGCACAGAGAAGGCCAGTTAAGTCTCCTAGCTGAATTCTGTTGACAGATCAGAGTCTTCCACTTCTCTGATCCTATCATGTACCCTTCTCCACCCTCAGCCGTTCCCGTGTCCATTGTGGTCTGACCATAATTCCTGTGCCTAGAGCTCAACACCTACTTGCCACAGTTGTAGAGGTCACAGCAGAAGCAGGTGTTGCCCCGGATGCGAGGGGTGCAGAATCCACGGCTAAGGTGAGGGCAGTTCACCTGAGGGCAGACAACAGTGAGGAGATCAGCTGGCACTGGATGGGAGGCAGGACTCTCTGGGACCGGAAATGTGAGTTAGTGACTGATGGAGACAGTAAGGATGGCTGTGAAATGAGCACACCAATGCACAAGAGGGATGGGGCTGGGCAGGGAGCTGGGGGGACTTGTGCATGGTCTCGTGTCCAGCCTCAGCTGCAGCCCTCAGCGCCCCATCCCTGAAGGGTGGAGATGGAAGGGAGGAAGAATAGATGGAAGGACATATGGAAGAACAAACGGACTGTAGGAAGTGAGGATAAGGGGACAGGGGAAATCAGGGTACAGGAGGAAGGAGGATCAGGTGGGAAGGAAGACAGAGGGGCCACCACATGCACTCTGAAGTACAATAGTACCTCTCTAGCTGCCTGGGTAAGGTTCCTCATAACCCTCGCGGAAGGAGAATTTTTGGTTGAGGAACTTATGACCTTATATAGGAAAAATAGGGTTAGGGGGACCAGGGTTACAAATGAACCTATGGAAGGCATTATTAATATTTTTACAGTCACCAAGTTAACACAAGAAAGCCATTACAATGAAATCCAGAGAACAGCAATGATATCGTACACATTTCGGGTTTGCAAGAAGTTTGTAAAAATGGAACAAAATTAATTTTTATTTACCACCTCTTGTTTGCAAGAAATTTTCCAAGCTCTCACCCCCATACAGATGTAATTAAGTGCTTGTGCATTTCTTTTGCTTTGTTATAGAGAATAGTCATAGCACACGGGCATTTTTTTCTATATTGAATCCTTCATCCAAATGCATACTGCCTCTTTAATAAGCTATTAGCATATACACATTTTGATTCCTCCCTTCTAACCTGAGAATAGTAAATTAGTAGTTGTTAAAAGATAAAAGAGGCAGGCAAGTGAATGGCAGAGCCATACTAAAAGTATTTGCCATGATGCCTTGAGAACAGGACCATTGCTCCATCTTAACATCAAGCGTGCCGTTCACATCACATTTTTGTTGTTGTTAAATGGCTTCCCTTGGAGTAGTGCCATACAGTAACCATTTTACATCCACTTGCCTTCTTTTTCTCTTCCCAGTCACAGGCTTACCATTTTTCTAATTCTCAGGGGGATCAACTTTCAAGTCTAGGCTTATAGAATACCAAATTGTCGAGGTTCCTGGAAGCATAGATAGGGTTTCATATGACCTGACGGTATGGCTGAGTTGGGGGGATTATTGCGCACTGAAATGAAAATGCTCCCGAAAAGACCTGGATTTGTGCTTGGCTTCCCTGCCCATTGCCTCTAGTTTTGTCTGAGGCAACATGGAGCACAAGGAGAGCTGTACGGGGCAGGAGAGAGATACTCTTCTGTGCACACTCAAGCCTTATTAGGCTGGTCTATTGAAGGCATCATGAGAGGGTCCTGGCCAATAGTCTTGGCCTTCCCAGAGTGTCAAAGTGGACCAGGCTTCTCAATTACCCACATTCAGCTCCCAGACCCCTCCTGTGTGGGGCAGTCAGGTTCTGCCTCTTTAGTCCAGGCCTAGTGCTCCCATTTTTCTTGTAGCTGGACAAGTTCAGGCAACTGGACCATCAGCCACAAAGATGGGGGAGGGGCATGCCTCGTGGCCTGTGCACTCTTATCTGTTCCCCTTGGGATCAAAGCCACACACCGAGAGGCTGCCAGCTGGGGTCAGAGGGTTAGCCTGTGACCACAGAACAAAGTAAATCTGATTAGGCCTCATGAGGCTCCAACCTACGGCCATGGCCTCATTAGCACTGTGCTCGGACCCAATGAATAAATCAGCTACAGACACCTAGTAGTAAACCTTAGGCGTGGGAAAAGGAATCAAACAAGGGGGTTTCAGCCAGAACAGGGGACTTTCCCAGAAGGTAAAGACATGCAGCTTCATTCTGGCTCACCTCCTCAGCTTCCTTCTGGGATGTCTTGGGGACATAGTGGCACCGATTAGCATACAGTGGTTTCAGATCCTGGAAAGGAAAACACAAAACCAAAGGGACTTTGGCTTTGGAAAATAAAACAGCAAGTGCTCTGGGTGGTAATGAAAAATTTGAAGACACCTCTCTCACACACATATCCTCACCTCGGAGCAAGCAGTGGGTTGGGTTAATTTCTGAAAGTTACCTAGCTAGGGAGACTGAGATTTAGGATTAGACAAACATGCTCTAATAGCTGCCAATTAATGCTTTCTATTGGGTTATTTGGTTAATGAGCAATTAGGAAACTGAGAAATGGGTTTCTTGAAATTTCCTCTCTGGTTTTCTTCTGCTTCTATCTTTGTCCTCTTGCAGACAGTCCTCAGGGACCAAAATTCTAAACACTAGGTTATTGTGACATTTGTGACATCACACTTTCAAACAGAGGGAGCCCAGCTCCAACAGCAGGTCTCATTATCGCCTGAGGACAGGACGAGGGCTGGCTGACTTGTGCACGCTGTTGTCATTTCCACCGCTTTTTTTCAGAAGGAAGTAACCCCGGGAGGATGGGCAGCTCTCAAGATTGCTGTAGATTTTAACTCAACTGAACTATGAGCCATTTTCACCCAAGTACACAGCTTAGATAAAGCCAGTGAACTTCAAAACACCGCTAAAGCCCCAGAAAACTAATAAGGGGCTCAAGGACAGTTGATTTACCCTGCTGGCTTGGCCAGCTTCCCAGTGAGGAAGCTCTCAGGCATGGGGGTTGGGGTAGAACAGACAGACACAAGCCAGGGCTTCCTGGAAGCTTGTAAGCAGGGGCTGCTGTTCACATCCCCCAGTGGTAGGGGGTTTCTGCCAAAGACAGGTTAGGAAAAGACAAGCTGTATATGCAAACAGACCTCAGGGGGTTGGCATAAGTGCCTAGCCAGAGGGAATCTATGCATTGCCTCCATCCTTTCTGCCCCCACTTCTCCCACCACTTCCAATAATCCTGGTAGCTGCCTTCCCCCCCCACATGTGTGATTTACCATTTCCTATACATGGTGCCTCCTGTCTTCTAGCTGGCTGCCCCATCAAGGGCCTAGGACTTTCCATCAGCTACTTCTGCATGCACTTCCGGGCTGCTCAGTACTCTGAAAGTAAACTGGCCTGTTAGTTTAGCACGGAGTCGGGCTGGAACGGAATGAAGGTGTGCTCACAGCTGGCAGGACTTATTTTCCATGTTTGGGTAATGGTAGAAGTCATTAGTCTCCTGTTGAAGAAGAGGCTCAATGTGCTGGTCAGAGCTCTCCCTACTTGCTGGTTTTGCAAAAAGCATTCAGCCACCAACTGTCATGAATGGAGATAAACATGTGTGATGACTGTCCATGTGTTGCTTCCGGCTGCTGTATTTCATTGAGGGCCCCAAAGAGAAGCAAGAACAGGCAACTGAGAGGTGAGAAAAGGTCACTCAGCCAGGGCTTGGCAACCTCTTCCATCTGAAGGGGCCACCAACCATGGAGTGAAAGGTTGAAAAGTGAAATGGTTTTACGTTGAGTGTCTTCTCTGTGCCAGACGCTCTTAGGGCATGTTCGTACTCATTATTTAATTTCAGTCTCATGCTAACCCTAAAGGGTAGGTTACTACTACATATTACATTCATTGAGAAGAGAAGGAAACTGTGGCATAAGAAGGTAAAGTAGTTTTCTCATCTAGTTAATGTTCTAGTAGGGAGAGGAGAAAGGAAGGAAATATGAGACAAGAGAGACAAGGAACAAGATAGTCAAAGAGGGATGTGGGAGAAGGGAGATCTGGAGAACAAGTTTAGATTCACCCAAGCCAAAGGAACAGGGCCAGATGACATTCCTGGGCCTCAACAACCAGACAGTCTGGCTCTAATCCATATAACATGTGCTAGGGTTCAAATGTGCCTTTCATTGAAGTTGGGCAACAGATATCACTGTAGATTAATAAAGCCTCCTTCCTCAAAACTTTATTGGTGTCAGTGAGGACTGGCAGATGTCTTAGGGCGGGTACAGTGTAAACATAAATATTTTCTTAAAGATTCATCCAGATTTGCCCCCCAAATCCTTGAGCCAAATGCTATACCGCAGGGCACTAACAGTAGGAGGTACAGAGGGCCTGGACTCATAGGCAATTCGGCGGTCATTAGAGGAATCTTCCAGTAAATATAATTTGGATTTTTTCCCCATTGCTTTTGACTAAGGCCAATGATCAAAAACATTAGGGGTATCAGAGAAAGGCAAATCAAAGCCATCATGAGATATTGCTTTATACCACTAGGATGGCTCAAATCAAAAAGTCAGATAATAATGAGAGTTGGTGTGGATGTGGAGCAATCAGGACCCTCAGACACTGGTGATAGGAATGTAAAATGGTGCAGCCACTTTGGAAAACAGTCTGGTAACTCCTCAAACAATTAAACATAGTTACCATGTGACCTAGCAATTCCACCCTTCAGTGGACAGGAAATAAAAATGAAAATATATATCCATGCAGGAACTTGTACACAAATGTTTATAGCTGTATTATTTGTAATGGCCAAAAGGCAGAACTCAAATGTTCACTCACTGGTGCATGAACAAACAAAACATGCTATGGCCACATGATAGGATACTATTGGACCATGAAAAGGAATGAAACACAGCCACACGCTATAACATGGATAAACTGTGAAAACCTACTAAGTATAAGAAGCCAATCACAAAGGAAAATACATGATCCCATTACTATGAAATGTCCATAATCAGGGTATCTATAGTAAAAGAAAGCAGAATAGTAATTGCTTAGGGCTGGGAAGAATGGAGAAAGATGGAGGCAACAGCTAAAGGGAAAGGGGTTTCTTTTTGAGATGACAAAAGTCTTCTAAAATGGACTGGTGATGATGGCTACATAGAGCTGATCTATAATAAATACATACAGACTATACTAAAACCTGTCAAATGATACACTGTCGATAGGTGAATTGTATGGAATATAAATTATATCTCAATAAAGCAGTTAAAAACCATTAGTAGTGGGAGAGACGGGAAAAGAAGGAAGCCATCTTAGCTCATGATGCCATCAAAAATCTACTGCAGGCTTCTTAGCCACTAGGCCTCTGTTGCCATGGAGACTGCCCGGGAGTGAATACTGCTTGTCAAACAGGGATAATAATGCCTGCCCTACATATCTCACAGGATTACTGTGGGTCTCAAATGAGATAATAGGTGTGAAGGCACATTGACAAGCTAAATGCACTACACAAAAACAAGGAATTATTGTCATTAGGAGGGCTCCTGTTGAATACAAAATAGCTTGTATACACTTTGATTGACTATAACCATGCTACAAAAATAGGTATATAGTCAGAAGGTAATATGCAAAGACAGTGATAATTCCCAAGTTAGGGTGGTAGGAATATGGATGCTCAAGGTTACAGATGTGCTATTGCCTTTTTAGAAGAAAGAGATGAAGAAAAAGATGGGTATTCTCAGCTAAAACCAGAAGCAATGGGAAGGATAAGGGGCCTACATTTATAATCCTGGTCTTGAAAGAAAATTAGGGAAAAGGCCTCTCCTTGGCATCCCTTATTTTTCTCCCTCCCCAGAAATTATTTCTTGAGATGTCATTTCACAGACTGCTTGGGGGACAGCATTGACCTATGAGTTGCTGTAATCTTGGCAAATGGGGAACTGACTCTTCTGTCTGAGAGAAGGGTCTAAGAATGAGCTAGAATTGAAATATTGATGTTTCAAATCCTCCTAACCCAGATCCGACCATCCCAATGACTTTCCTCGGGATGACCATAACAATCAGCCAGTAGCCAAAATGGAATAAAGCATCACTTGATTCACAGAAAATTCTCATAATACGATTTTACTCTATTTCAAAAAATATGATTTCCAGCTAACTCATGAGATGTTTTCACTTTTAGTGTTGGTTCATTTGGAGGAAAAACAGACTCTTTTGAGTTTGTTGGAGGACTCAGTAAGTTGCTATGGCTCACTCTTGATTTTAGTTTGTGGGCCAGAACGGGGATACTTTCAACTTCACTGAGCCCTAGGCTCTTTTGCCTTTGTGGACCTCATTCTCCCTTAAAAAATATTGAAATCGGCTTGGCGCCAGTAGCTCAGTGCCTAGGGTGCCCGCCACATACACCAGGGCTGGCGGGATGGAACCTGGCCTGGGCCTGCCAAACAACAATGACAACTACAATAAAAAAAAAGCCGGGTGTTGTGGTGGGCGCCTGTAGTCCCAGCTACTAAGGAGGCTGAGGCAAGAGAATCTCTTAAGTCCAAGAGTTTGAGGTTGCTGTGAGCTGTGATGCCACGGCACTCTACCGAGGGTGACATAATGAGACTCTGTATCAAAAAAAAATTGAATCATATTTTATTTATTTTAATCACATTTTAGGACAAACCACTATGGCGCTTGAAGTTTGTACCTCCCAGGTTAGACCCGGTTCTCTAGATGCCAGTGTGTCTATCAGTGTCCTTATCTTGACTATTAGCTCCTTGAGGAAAGGGGGCCTGTCTTCTCCCTCTGGAGTATACCTCACAGCACGTTAGCACAGCACTGAACATCCAGCACACATTCACCAAAACCTTGCCGTACGGCACAGTTACTTTAACCCAGAACTAAAAATACTCACAATGTGTCTTGCAGCAAAGACCCCGTCCACTATGGCACAACAAAAAGCTGCAATCACACCAAAGCTGATGAACACGATGGAGGCCACCAGCTGCAGGGAGGAACAAAACAAGAGCACCCGTTAGCCTTCCGCTTGCTGCTTCCAGAGACTAGGTGGTCCCCAAGAGACTGGCAGTCAAAGCAAAGCTCCAGTGTGCAGCCCCATGGAGGTGCTCATTCTAGTCTTACAGGACGAGTGACAGCAGGGACAAGTGGGGGACAAAGGGAAGGGGCCAATAAAGCACTTGTAACATTTTCAGGGCAAGCTAAGAAATTCATTCTGTGAGTGCCAAATGAAAAAGAGGCTTGCTGGGATCCAGCATGCTGGCCAGGAAGGAATTTGACTGTGTGGCCCTTCCACCCTCAGACTCAGAAAAATGCTGGATTTTTGATATCATGTAGTTCAACTCTTTTTTATTTATATGGTAATGGAGGCACTGCGAGGGGAAGTTGTGCACCCAGGGTCTCCATCTAGTCCGTGGAAGAGGCTGGGGGCTGCCAACTCCTAGTCCAGGGTTCTTTCCACCCCTCCCACTTCTGCTCAGTGGTACAGCAGGCAGTGAGAAGACAAGGCTGATTCCGAGGTTTTGCACAACCTACATGGCCTTTGACAACAGTCATGAAAGAGGACATTCAATTTATTAAGACTTAAATGTCAAGGACATTTTACAGGGGCTTAAAGTCTCTGAAACTGATCAACTCCGAAACTGTGGTAGATATAAAAACTTTTAAGTAAGAAAAACATTTGCTTGAACCAGATCGTCCTATTCTCTAACCGTGTTAGATGACAAAAATTTCTCTAACAATTTGTCTACTATTACAAAGATGATACTACAACACAACATGAGGGGAAGGGTAGGTATTTTAAAGTGTTTCTGGAGGCCAGGATAGGTGCTACCTGAGCCTATCACTTGCCTGGGTTAACCTCTAGAGACAGATGGAATCAGCATTTCACTTCCTTGAAGTTTGGGGGGAATGAGGGATAATAACATAGGACTAAGCCGATCTCCAGGGGGAAGGAAGAAATCAAAGTCAAGGCCACCCTAGGGTTCTCCCACCTCGGTAGACTAGGAGGAAATACTTATTTCCTTTGGGAGTTGTTCAATAACCTCTCTCCATAAATCTCACTTCACAGTACTACAGAGAATTGGTAAATAATGGATGAACGATGTCACGAAATTGGCATTATTAGCTGTGCTATGATCAGCTCTACAATTAAAACTCCCCCATTGTTTTGAATAATTTAAGCCCAAAGTGCAAACACAATGGGCAGGGAGGGGAGTCCAGGTGAAATGGAAGTAGAAAACTATTAGAACTCCCTCGAGGGTGATTCCCCACATTGCTAGGGGAAAACATATGGTTAGAGTTCTCTGTCCCTAGAGCCATTACGTTATCTGATTAAACTTGCTGTTAAATAGACCCCATTATCAAAGTTTCAATGCCACAGAGACTTGTACAGGGGGAGCCTAATCAGTCCACCATCTGACCACTCAAGACATCTTGATTTACAAGTCTATACAACTGCAATACGCTTGCAATTCGGTCTACCCTTTCCCTCAAAGAAGCCTTCTCAGGCTGAACCAGGAAAATACAACAGCTTCCCTTTGAAACCCCTTAGTAAGACATAGAACTTTCTAAGCTTCATCTTCTGTTACATGTTCATCCTTCCTTTCACCCATACAACACACTTAGCTTTGAACTACGGGTAAGGGAGATACTTTAGGATGGCTTCATAATTTCATTTTGTCTTTTTTGTGCCCCAAATACATTTGTTCTCTTGATTAAAGCACCCTAGATGATAATCTCCTAAAAGGTAGTAACCCTCTGCAAAAAAACTTTCCTAAAAGATTATGTATCAAAGAGGAAGACATGAGGGTTACCCAGGACTACAGTAACAGAAATCACAGAAGCAAAGCCAGTCTAGGCATGGACAATAGCCTGACTGGATAGACTGGAGCACGCCTTTAGGGGCGAGAAGGAAAGCAAAGGGCAAGATCCAGAATATTCTATACCTGTCCTTACCAAGACTAGCTAGGTCAGTGAGGGAGCATCAGGCAAGATGAGAACAAGTCCTATAGCACAGGGTCACTGTCAAACAAGTTCCCCAGGGGCTTAGGAGATAGGGCGGAGAGGCTGTTTCTTTTACGGCCAAATTTATGCACACTTAAGAGATGTGTTAATTATCTACATAAACGTCGAGCTTTTTCAGATTAAGAATTTGAATCTATAGGAATGAAAACTTACCATCTGCCGTTTGTTTTCAATAAGGTTTGATCCAATGATTCCAAGGAACGATCCGAAGCCGAGCTGTAAAGCAACATGGCACACATAGCATGTGGGAAGACAGTTAGGCTGACCACACAATCATTCCAGCTCCTGGATGTGACTCAGGATAATGGAAAATAACTGGGGCATAGACGCTAAGGCCACATGCAGTTGTTACTTATACAAATACAGCATGTATGATAAAAGTATTTTCTCCCACCATTTGCCAGTTTCTCTGTGTAGCTATGAATCACATCTAAAAAGAAATTTATGTGCCCCCAAACTGAAAGTAAAGGTCAACCATAGCTTTTCAGAGCGTGCCTATTTCAATTTCAATATCTATTACCTATCATGTGATGGGTGAGTCAGGAAGAGACATATAATGGTGAAAAGCACACATTATATTTTGATCTTTATCTTTTTTGAAAAAGACTTTCCACTCTGATGCAGAGATCACAAAATAAAGGTTTGCAATAGCAATTTTTGATGCATCTGGAATACTAATCAAACTCAGGAAGTACTTTAGAAATCAGAAACACCTTAACCCACACACACAAAAAGAAAAAAGAACTTTTTTTTGAAAGCCTATATTTGCGGTTGACCCATTGCAATTTATGTTAGCACTTATTCATGTCTTCTTCCATCTCTGCTTCATTTATGGACAGAAAGCATTCATTAAAGGGTGAACAGAAATGGCAGTGTAAAACCCTGAAAAACAATTTCCCTGTCTAAGTGGCTGGGATTATGGCTCAGTGTAGCAGATCCCAGTGCCCTCTCAGCTCTGCTATTAGTGTACTGAGTCTGCCAGTCACAGCTGAAAATGATCGCTAACCGATAGCTGTTGATGGGGATGGAAATGGAAGAAGTAAAAAGTGGTGAGAATGGACCAATAAATCTTAACACAAGTTCGGTGATGTAGTTACATTTCTCTTTAGCCTCACTAATGGTCTGGGTTTCCATTTGCAGCCTTACCTTGGCTCACAGGGGCATCCTTCAATCCAAGGCCCCCAAATCTTGCACCTAGGCTTAGAAATCTAACAAACCTGTGGACTGAGCAGGAGCTTGATGGGGCAGTGTAGGGGGACTGGGTAGTTGTCTCAGGAGCCCAAGAATAAAAGGGAATGAGGGAAGGCATGAATGTAAGTGTCCAAGGACTCTCTGCGGGACCACTCAATCAGCAGGCACTCTTGAGAAGTAGACGCTGGAGTGCATGAGGCTATATCCCAGGCCATCCAAGACTCTATTTGAGAACATCCTCATTCGACAGTTAAACTATGCCTGTCTCCCACCCTGTCTTATTTCAAACATAATTAAAATGTGTTGCCATAAGGGAGACTGATTAAAACCTGTTTATCCCACTAGCCTAGTTTCCAACCCAGCTATTCCACTTATGTCTGTACAATCTTGAACAAATGAGTTAAGCTCTCTAAACGTCAATTTCCCTGTCTGTAAATTAGGGGCCACAGTAGAAACCACTTCATAGAGCTTTTGTGAGGGTAACCAGGATGATATGTTCAAAGAACTTTGCATGGTCCCTGGCACACAGTAAGTACTCAGTAAATATTATTTTGCTCTAGTGATGGTTGCTACTATTTTTAAAAAACCATTTAACCTTTGAGCCACTCTAACTTGACTTAAGCTGGAACATCCTAGCATTATTTGCTCTATTTCATTAGAGAGTGCCCCTGTTCTATTTCATCTCCTCCTCTGATATGTTCCATGGCTTTTATTTTTTAGAAGGAAGCCCACTAATAGTCTGCGCTTATGAAACTCTGAGCCATTTGTGGAGATTGAGAGAAATTCAGAGGCAGCTTCTTACAGGGAAAATAAGTCCTTTTACCAAACAGTCCATCAGCTTCCACAGATACTGACAGAATGTCTCCTGAACCCTAATAATAATCTGCCCAAGATGGGAAGCAAAGACACTCCCTATTCCTGATAGTCTCAAATAACTCTCTGATGGCAGTTATCAGAAAGGGTGGGCGAAAGCTTTGTGGAATTGATTGGAAAGACAAGATACTCCAGAATTGGAAATCCCAGGCCAGACAGTTCCTTCATCTGCTTTCCTCTCCTTCTTCCATTCCATTCGATTCCATTCCAGTGCATTCAGTTTTCTAACATTCACTGAATACCTGTATCTCAAATGAATAAGAAGGCATGGGCCCACCAAGAGCTTATAGTCTAGGAAAGGAGAGACAGACTGTGGGTTAAGGACCCACAGGTAAAGAACAAAGTGGCTTAGGGGCAAGGAATAGTTCATTCTGGATGATATCCCTTATTCTGCTGCCTATTAACTGTGTGACCTTGGGCCTGTCCCTTAACCACCCTGTGCTTTGGTTTCCTCATCTGTAAAATGGGAATCATAACACTACTTTCCACACAGGTTGCTGTGATGATTCAATGAGATAAAGTACACATTATAGTGTGACTGCATATGGTAGTCTGCTAAATAAATGGTAGCTCAAAGGTTTCATGGAGGAAGAGCCATTTGCATGGCAAGCAGGGACTATTTACTGTGTTATGCCTGAAAGAATGCACTTCCCTGAATGATAGGCTCATGAACTCACCAGTGTCATGAAAACTACCTTACAAATGAAAAGCATTTTAAGTTAAAGAAGTACCTGCCTCCTCATTTTGGTCACAAAATTGCTATGGAGTTTGGTGGAGCTGACATCATTCCCATTTGATAGATCAGAAACTGGAGGACTAGAGAAATATAAGGATTTATCCTTCCTACAGCAAGTTAATGGTGGGGCCAGGACTAGCCCTCAGGTTCCCTAACAGGTAGTGTTCTTTCAGCCACCACACTGACCATTTGTGACCAGTGTCAGTAGAATAGTGACCTTCAAGTACCAAGGGCCTCATTGTTGCCTCTTAAGGAAGAAGTTCTCTGAATGGATGGATGATGTGAGAAGGTCTATTTCAGGTAAAGCTGACGGGCTGAAAGTAAAGAAGGGGAAAACCAACAGCATTTCCTGAAAAGTGTTTGCTACTGAGACCTCAGAAAGATAAGCTTCGTGGTCTCCCATTGAGAGCTTCGTGGAGTCTTTCAGACCTTTGGCCCCCCATCTTGGTTCCTCATTACCTGTACAAATAGCCCGTTTGCTTCGTTTGGCTGCCCTCGACTTGTGGAAGCGAAAAGACAAATCATTAGACATCAAAGTCAGAGTCAGGGGCTCTTTGGGGGTTGGACCCTATCACTTACGCCTATTCCTATCCACTGCCCTAGACACCCAGGGCTGAGGCTCAGAAGGATTAGTCACTTAGTAAATATTAATTGGACATCTACTCTGTGGCAAGCACTGTGTTCAGTCTGTGATATGAAAGCCAGGAAATGGGATGGGGTACCATCAAGAACGATGAGATTCAGGCTTAAAGAGCTCATATTATAATTAGGTAAACTGGTGCATAATTCCTTTCCATAATCCGCAAAGCTCTCAAAACCAGAAGGAATTTTTCTATAGCTACCTTGGTGACAAAACCTGACCTTGAACCGATCTGAGGTTATTTTATAATCTTTATCCCAGTTAGTGTAAAAATTCATGTTTTATTATAGAAACATGATGATGCTTGATTATGGGGTGCTTCTCAAGCCCCCATTGGGGTGTTAGATAATGTATGATATATGCACTGTATAATCTTTCTAAAATAACAAAAAAAATTCTGAATTCTGAATCACATCTGGCCCAAGGGTTCCGATAAGGGATTATGGACCTCATGGCACTAAGCAGGATATGAGTATTTTCCAGCAACCCGTGGACACTAGTAGTTGAGAAGTGTTTCTGCTGTGTCTCTAAGTTGGGATGTGACGGAGCATTTGGAACACACAGGGAGCACACTGCAGGTGTGGCAGGGTAACGTGAGTGACAGCACTAAGGCTGGAAATCCCAAGTCGTGTTGAGGGGACTGTGAATTAACAATTTTGGCAGAAGAGAAATAACTGGAGACCAGGCTGAAGGCCTCTGCGAAGAGCTTTCAATGGCATGGTAAGGGGCCAACAGGAAGCCAGCGAAGGTGAGAACTTTGTGGCATTATGAAAGTCTTATCCAGCAAATCAGGATTCGAGTCTCATTCTTGAAATGTACACCCTAAGTTAGGAAGTTATAGTTTAGAATGAACGTAGATTTTAGAAACATTTTTAACAAGAGGTGGGACTATTTCTGCCTAATTCACAATTAATCACAAAGTCCCACTATCCAGAGTTCCTTATATTTCCTAAGCATGCAGATTAATCACCCTTTTTTTGGACTTATCAAGAGTCTTTACATGTGAAGAAGCCACACTGGCCCAGAGAAGGTTTCTGGGCTATTGATTGTTTTGAACTGTCTCTGCTGTCCCTGTCCTCTAATAATGCTGATAGGATTTTCAGTTAACTTAGCTCCTCTCCCAAGGTAATGGGACAGAAACTCCGGGTTTCTTTCCTGAAAGAAAACTCAGGCTAGCATGGGCACTACCAGTCCAACAGCTGAGGAGAGGGTACAAGAATGAAAGGCTATCCCCACTGTCCAGGGGGCCAACTCCATCTTGTGGGTTCCTTGGGAAGCACATTTAGAGGTTTCTTCCTCCTGCATCTAAGCAATTGCTCTCACCTGCCTTTTTCAGCTTCAGGCAACACTGATCTTGGATTTTTTGGCGTTCAGAGCAGAAAGCTCCTCAGAACCTTTCTGGAATGAAATACATCTTGAATATTTGAGGACAGTTAAATTCTTAAGCCAGATTGTCTTTCTTTGTTGGTTTTAGTTTTTAAACTTTGCAATTCAGCCTGTGCAGATTAGAACATCTTTAAAGATACATGTGTGCATATGTCTCCTAGAATGATGATATCACATTCTAGCTCAGGTAGAGTAGCTAACAAACTGTAAGAATGAACCTCATTATATTAGGGCATCTCACTGGACAAAACAATGATGCCCCTGAAAGGTTTCGCATGACTTAGAGTTATGTAAATGGAATTCTATTTTAAATGCCACAATATTGAAATGATTTGTATATTGAGTCTTCTATTAATCTAATAACTTCTTAATTTGTCTGTTTAGAAATTTTAAATCTCATGTATTGTTAACACATTTAACTAGAGTCCCAAACAGCAAAGTTCTGTTATATTTTCTTAGATTGGATGACTGATTAAAGGCTTTCGTACATTTATTCCATCTGTATGAATTTTCTCCAGTATGAATTTCCTGATTTTGAGAATAATGTAGTGACTGGGTAATAGCTTCTACACATCCATTACATTTATAGAAATACTCTTGAATATGGATAGTTTCGTGGCTAAGAAGCTTGCAACATGGATGAAACGCATTCTTCCATTTTTTTTTTTTTTTTTAGATTTGTACTAGATCTTTGGAGAGTGAGCTCTCTGATATTTTCTAGAGCATGAGTCTTCGTTCAAGATTTTTAAATGTTTATTACATTGATTTTTACTCTCATAAATATACTGGTAATTATTTAGGGTAGAGTCCTGGATCGAGGACATTGAAGTTTTATTTGGTATGTATTGTTTTTTCTAATTATTGATTCCTTGATGTTGTCTATACAATGGTGACTGGATAAACACCTTATCATAATGATCATCACTGGAGATTTTGGCATTATTTGTTGGTATAGGAATAAAAAACTTTGAATGAATGACCCATCATATCGATCACATTCAGAAATATTCTTCTCATTTTTAAATCTCTGGTCTTCAAAAATATTTGACTCTAGCACTCTGGGAGGCTGAGGC